CAACAGGGTCTGTGAGAGCCAACAGATATACCAGGGTATGGGAGATCCAACAAACATTTCAACAGGGTCTGTGAGAGCCAACAGATATACCAGGGTATAGATGATCCAACAAACATTCCAACAGGGTCTGTGAGAGCCAACAGATATACCATGGTATAGATGATCCAACAAACATTCCAACAGGGTCTCTGAGAGCCAACAGATATACCAGGGTATGGGAGATTCAGCAAATATTTCAACAGGGTCTGTGAGAGCCAACAGATATACCAGGGTAAAGGAGATCCAACAAACATTTCAACAGGGTCTGTGAGAGCCAACCGATATACCAGGGTATGGGAGATCCAGCAAACATTTCAACCGGGTCTCTGAGAGCCAACAGATATACCAGGGTATGGGAGATCCAACAAACATTCCAACATGGTCTGTGAGAGCCAACAGATATACCAGGGTATGGGAGATCCAACGAACATTTCAACAGGTCTGTGAGAGCTAACAGATTTACCAGGGTATGGGAGATCCAGCAAACATTCCAACAGGGGTCCTACATGTCCTATAGACATGCATACCAGGTTGTATAGAAATCCAAACCAGAATTATAAAAGATCCCTCAGAAAAATTAAACAGGGTCTCTCAAGTCATATTAGGCTTCTCTGAGGGATCCAATACATTTATACCAGGATTGGAGATCCTACAGGAGGGAGGGATCCTACTGCAGCACTGGGGTAAACAAGTTTGATATTGGCAGGCCTCCAAGGCAGTCGGCATGGTTCTGTAGGGGAACGGTATAGGTTATCAATCTTTAACACTTGTATAAGAATGAATTAGAGGTATAGCTTATCCTTGAAAGATATTGGAATGTCAATATAAAAAGGAAACCTTACAGATGTAGCTGTTGTAAATATATTCTACAAGTTGTACCAGTAACCAGTGTATAGATACATGTCTACTATGTATCAGGCCGGCCTTCAAACAGAACTAACATTGGTTCAGAACGTTAAGCCATGTAAACTTTGTACTCACCCTACTGTAAAACATGGTATATACGGAGTCAGTGATCCCCAAAACACATAATTCTACACATAGTTAAAGCTATTTCCCGATCCCTGTATAAACAAACACTTCCTCTGACCAATAAGAATTCTTACTAAAGCGAACCAAAATCCACATATGTTTTTATGATCTTCTCATTCTAATTACCTTCCTTAGCAAGAGAACAAATGTTCTTACCACGCAAACTCTCGGAGACTGGTTTCAAATCACCCAAGGGTCATTGATTCAACCCCTCAACATGTAAACCTCACTTGTCATTGATTCAACCCCTCAACATGTAAACCTCACTTGTCATTGATTCAACCCCTCAACATGTAAACCTCGCTTGTCATTGATCTCCTGATAACATATACCCCAGGTATGTGATGACTGTCATCCCATAGGTCACTCATACAACCCTCTAAATGAACAAATATACCCCCTATTTCATCTAATTACCCTTAAAAAGCCAATGATCCGACTCTATAAACATGAACAACATACCCCATACATTTGATCTGGTCCTGTATCACCCTACAAAGCCACTGGTCTTTATAACCCTATAAATATGATCAACATACCCCTTGTATTCAATTTGATCCCACTATCACCCATACAGGGCCACTGATCCAACCCTCAACATGTACTACCTCAACAATGACCACTATGATCCAACCCTCATCATGTACCTCAACATACATCAACTGTTGCATTTCTACATCCCCATATCATGTTTATTGATCAANCCAACCCTCTAAATGAACAAATATACCCCCTATTTCATCTAATCACCCATACAGGGTCACTGATCCGACCCTAAACATGAACAACATACCCCATACATTTGATCTGGTTCTGTATCACCCTACAAAGCCACTGGTCTTTATAACCCTATAAATATGATCAACATACCCCTTGTATTCAATTTAATCCCACTATCACCCATAGAGGGTCACTGATCCGACCCTAAACATGAACAACATACCCCATACATTTGATCTGGTTCTGTATCACCCTACAAAGCCACTGGTCTTTATAACCCTATAAATATGATCAACATACCCCTTGTATTCAATTTGACCCACTATCACCCATACAGGGTCACTGTTCCAGCCCTAAACATGAATGAAGTGTAACTTTACCCAAATTATTTTATCCAATTTCAAATCACCCATACAAGGCAATAGGTCCAACCTAAAACAGGAACAACATACTGGTACCCCCTTTATTGTATCTGATTCCATAATGACCATGCACTATTACAGGGTCACTGATCTAACCCTCAACATGTACTACCTCAACAATGACCACTATGATCCAACCCTCAACATGTACCTCAACATATATCAACTGTTGCATTTCTACATCCCCATATCATGTTTATTGATCAAACCAGTCGGCACACGCTGATGACATTCTCACCTTACATGTCTTACACAAAGTCCTAAATATCATGCTTGTTACTAAATAGGGAAACAGAAAAAACACCTGATTAAATAAGTCTGGTTGGTAAGACTTAAACCTGTTTGAGCAGCCGATATTATACATACAGTTTACCGCTCTATACCACTCTAATACATACAAATACTTACGTTTATAGAAGTCTTTATTCCTCAGATACAAGTTATCCTTACCCTAGGTGATATGGACTAGGGTTTAGTGGTGTCTACTATCCCTAGCGATGATCACTTGGGTAAGACTTGGAGATGTCTCCACACATTCTACATCATTCACTATTATTTATACAGCACAACACTGTAAATGTGATCTATTTACAAAACATTTTGATCCACTAGCCCGTAACACAGACCTATACACTGGCAACATCCCAGCAGTTTATACTGAGGTACGTGTGCCTGTAAAACTCGAGCTATTTTATAGAGTTGTTACCATGTCAACTGGAACTTCAATCATTACAATGTAACAGCTTAATTATGAGTCATTGAATAATTTGTCAAAAGAAATAAAATTACATGTTTATTTTTATACGCAGACATTAGGAAGTTGTTTTGCATATTATGGGCTTTATCACTATGCATCAACAAACATTTCACGTTGAAAGTTGTTTTTATGGGAGCTCATGCAGTTAATTTTAAGTAAAAAGAAAACTCCTACAATTTTATATACAATCATTTTATAGTGCCTTATTTAATATAAAGGAAATTAATCTGAGGCACTTTCATTCGAGGGAGGAAAAGATGAATGTATGTGTATATAGTTTAACACAATCAGGAGAGTGAAGAATCAACTTTACTGTATACATGTAGGTACATCTTACCATGTGATCCTGTTAAGTACCTCCAGTTATTATTACCATGCAGACATTGATAATTATACTTGTCAGTTGAAAAAAAGGATATATGCTACTTTATAATCAACTCTATCAAAGAAGTACCTGACTTTTCATTGTGATGTTTAGCTACAGTCACTGTTCTGCTGTTTCTGTGAGGAGCAAGACATTTTGCATGTGATAAGCAACAAATGAAACCTAATGTATTATCATTATAAGTAAATGTTGCACACAATCATTTGGTTATGATCACCTGTCAATAATGACCACACAATGACTCCACCAAACGCAGTGACCACCAATATATAAATGTCCTCTTAACAGAAGATGTACATTTCACTATTGCCAATCATAATTATTAAATCGGCAGCCTGTTCACATAGAAGTTCAATACAAAACAATATGCAATTCTCGATCGTTATTAGTTCCAGAAAATGTCAAAATACAAACCTCTGCCTGCCAGGATTCTTTCATTATGACTATCACAATTAATAAAGATTTACCTGCTTGGCAGGTGTTTTTACCTAAGGACAAAGGTCAAGCTACAGGTGTGTTAATTATAGAGTTATGTGTGTCACACAGTAACTCACTTAATGACTGTAATTGTCCAAACACAGGAGACCTAATTGGTATGCTTAATTGGTATGGCATACTAGACTAGTTTGAGTAATGTCCTCTTAATTAGTTCATACATTTTAATTGGAATAAAAGAAGGCGGCCAATTATGTAATCAAATAATAAGTTTTTAAGTTAAAGATGATTAAAAAATCAACAAATGTTGCAGAATTTTTGAAAATATCAACAAATAAGAAAGATTTTAAGCAAGAAAGCATCAAGGTGAATGTTTTTCCCCCAAAAAAGCCACACTGATAAAGATGAAATGTGAAGTGCCCTATGCCAGGTCTATATACAAATTACAGGTACAAGCCACTCAAGCTCAACTCTATAACTTCAGACACATCCTGACCGTGATATCTGGTTGTTTACAAGTCCTATAGCTGTAAACAATAAATAATAGCTTCTTTTGGAAGTATACAGGTACAATGGTGAAACTATGAAACACAATAAGCACACAAAAATACACAAAAAGCTTTGTGGAAATTACACTTATCTATGCAAAAACCAGTTTTAAAATGTATGTTACCTTTGAACCTGTAGATGTTCTGCTTTTAACTGCCTGTAATTCAAAGTCCACAATGTATATCAAAGCTAGATCCATAAACCAACAAAGGAATGATATAGTGTCACACATGTATAATTGTTCCCAGTACAGTGCTGCTGATTAATGTAACTCTAAAACATTCCAGTTCATAATCCACAGCGAAATGTTGTGTTTGCCTTAAGATTACGAGAAAACCAACTGGTGACTGTAAATTCTCCTAAATCAGAAGTTTGTCCCCTCAAGAGTGGAATTTGAGCCAACCAAATGTTTTTTCTTCAAGAATGATAAACAAATATTCAAGTTTCCATTGACACACCCAAGTGTATACATCATGCGACATGGATATATATACACTATGAAATATGTTGGCCAGTGATAACATTATATGGCATGGTTGTCTCTGCCTTGTCACAGAACTCTGACTGAGAAATAATCGGGGTCAAGGGGGACAACTTCCTGTTGAGTGTTTGTTCAGGATGATAAAGCTCCCTCACTTGCACAAACCATGCTACCCTTATGTTGTATTGTCTAATCCTGATAAAGAGACACCAGCCTTGAAAATATCCTGTTTCACCAACGGTTGTCACCATGGTCTTATCTGGTAGTCTAATCTAATTCTGTGCTGTGACAAAAGATTACTCATTTCTTTTCAAATAGAAAAAGGAACAAAGAAATACTTCTTTTTAATTTATGAATGTGTATGAGGCTTTTGTGTGTACTGAGGTTAATACTGAATTACAAAACAGAGATAAATGAACTAATGTCTAGCCCAGCACTTCTGATTAGATGTACAAGTTCTGTAAGCCTAAGTGCCAATACTTCTGATAACAAATGTCAACAGACTTTGATAACAGGTGTGTACCATCAACGATACCAGGTGGTTGAGGATTGTCCAGGTAAGTACAGGTGTAAACAACCACTGATTACAGGTATTCACAGGCACATAACCAGATTGTGTAGAAAGATGACATATTTATAAAGGTAACAATCTTATGTAACTGTGATATTTTCTTGTGAATGCCTTGCACTGACACACACATGACAGAGATGGATAGTTAAGAATTTAGATTAGAAACAAATATATGATGTTAACATAAGGCCTCTGATTAGTCTTCATTTATCTTGGAAGCCTTTTCCACATAGTTTGCTGGCATTCATAATTATTTACTAATTTATTTCTATATGACCTATTTTTTATCAATTAGCTATATAACACAGGAAAATGAAAAAAGATTGACAGAGTATTATGTAAATCAGTATACAAAAGATTTGAACCTTGACCTCAAAATGGGCATAATTTGATAAGCATTTTTATTCATTCTCAAACCATTCTAGAAGGCTAATCACAATCCCTTCCACCATGCAGATCTACATGTGATTTACTTTCAGTGTCAAGTAACAAAATATCCAAGTTAACGAGAAGTTTTGCTTTAAAGGTTTCTGGTGCAGAAATTAAAGTTTCAAGGGCCATAACTCCAGGAAAAATACTCAAATCACCAATTCCTTTCTTCATGCACATAGATCTACATACAGGTATGGTGTGCTTTCACTATGCCAAGTTTTAAAGAAACCCAACAAACCTTTTACACAAAGGATTTGCACCTTATGGACAGATTGATGTGATTTCTATACACATACACCCCCCACCCCCCTAAACTTAGATTTGCGGGGGTGTATTAGTCTGAATGTTACAGGAGGGAGTAAACTTGTCAGTGATAACTTACTGTGCCGTGGCGCTAAGGCTTCGGTGTAGACCTGGTACCACTTTATACCCTGTAATTAACAACATCAAAGTCATATAAGCAACAATACCAAATGCAACAATAATATGAATTGTTATTTACGATTCCAGCCATTAAAACAGAAAATCCAACCGTTATAAAAAACAGTACCAACAATATAGATTGTTATTTACGATTCCAGCCATTAAAACAGAAAATCCAACCATTATAAACAACAGTACCAACAATATAAATTGTTATTTACGATTCCAGCCATTAAAACAGAAAATCCAACCATTATAAAAAACAGTACCAACAATATAAAGCCAGCAGCACAAGTTAATAAGACCATGTCAACGAAAAGATTACAAAACATTGACCCCTGTGACCTGAAGTGAAGGTCAGAGTCATTTTTTTTAATAAACTGAGAGGCCTCCATCCTCGAAGCTCCATAGCATTTATCATTATCTTAAATTTGAACACATTTGAACATGCATCCATAAATCTTTCATTTACGTGATGAACATTTATAAAACTTTACACCAGTTAGCTATACATACTAAATATGATATGACTCTAGGTTTTGTAGTTCTTGAGAAGAAGTTTATAAAAGAGTTTATAATGGATGGACAATGTCAATGGATTCTGCAACATGACATTATAAGCTCACTTTACCGGTTAGCTTATAATGACACAAACAGCCGTTACAGTAGTATAATGCAGCAACACAGTTATCTCCCATTATAAAATACCTGCACCCACTAAAAAATTGCCAACTGTTACAGTACTATATACCACCCATTAACCATTTACCAGGGGTATATAAACAGGGCATATACCTGATAGACATTATTGTGGCAGTGTTTATATGACCTAGCTAGTATAACTCATCCAAAAGGATATATATACAACATGCACATTCTGGTTCGCCACTAGATTTCCTAATAATTATTAAGTGTGATAGCATAGAGATCCAGGTGTATCTGTTTCTGCCACTGTGTTGGAGTAGACTCAAAAATTACGCTACAATTCCTATTCCTGAACAGAATTACAATAAACACAGATAGAGAATTTCATAGCTGTGCATCATTGCCCCCATCATATAGAGAATTTATAGTTGTACATCGTAGCCACCATCAGCCCAGATAAAGAATGTAATGGTTATGTTCCTTCAGTAACACGGCTGATCTCCAGATGTGTACCAATTAAATGCATGTTATAGTTTTTACATGAGCTGCAGTTAATGCATTAGTTTTTATCATACCAAACACATGTGTAGTCAACTACACAAAGACGATACTGTTTGTCTTCTACCTCCAATCTACGTAATGCAATTTGCTGTTATCGTTTACAGTTTTTCCTCGGAAACAAAACAAGTGGTTTTGATACTACACACAATATACATTTGTTCTTCTTCAATTTTTATTCACGTCAATTATCATATACAATTACAAAGACATCTGATGATAAGGAAACAAGTCATAACTGATGTTCATGAAAACTGTTAAAGCCAATTTGACTTAAAACAAAAGCCTGAGATATTTCACCTTAATTCGCCATATATTTGAGACTGATTGGAACGACAGTCTTGATATCCATCAAATGATAGAAAGATGCTTTTAAATCAAATATTAGTCTGGAATTGGAACAAAAAAATCAGATCTACTTACCTCGCTGATGCTTTTCCTTGAGGATACGTAGACTGGACACGACCTTTGCCCTCAGGGCTGGGTTATGTATACCAAGATCTTTTATCTCTGCTTCCGTAAAATTCAGCAGATCCTGTAGAGGAATTAATCAAATATATTATAGGGTTATCTCCCCTCGTCTACCAAAATAAAAATCAATAAATGACAATGGACAAAAATTCCTTTACACTGCAGCTGGAGCTGGCATCCAATGTAACTTATTATCCCCAACAGCCCAATGATATAGTCCACTTTCTTTGTTGTGGAATGACCCATTTATCCTGATAGGGAAGACAAATATAAATGGCAGTCAAAAAAACAAAAATCAATTTGTGGCATTGGACGGAGTACTCCCAGGACATTGTCTGGTCTGTAATCCCCAAATGGAAGGGACATCTAGTTTAGAGGCTTCTTCCATATATAATCATACTCGAAAGGAAAAAAGGGCTATCAACAGGAAACAGGGACATGTAATTGTTTCTATGATTCAAAAAGATTTTAATTACAATAAGTACAACACAGAATAATAATTTGTACCTTTTCTGACTCAAAATTTGTTACAATTTATTCATCTAAAAACTATAACAAACAGTACAAAAAAGTTCAAAAGTCTTTCATTTTTTTTTTTTTTACCTATGTATTTTATGCATTCCTTAATTTTTATTTCAGCACCAAAAAGAGCAAATTGCCATTGTTAATTTGATGTCAGAAACAGTGTAGCCTGGCTTGATAAAAACCTCTTTATACAGATCACTGTCTATATAAATGACCTGTCTATAAGGAGCACATGTCAATAGAAACAAGCTGTGTATAAATAACATCCATCAACAGAAAAAAACCCAGCCTAAAACAGAATTTATCTTGATGACACCTCACTTCAAGTTTAAAGGTAGACAACTCTTGCAATACTAGTACTGGTTTTCAAGCCAAACAGGGGATATAACTTGTCTAGAACTACAGACATAGGTTGATGACGAGAAGAAGATACCAATAAAAACAGTACTCAAGCTGACCAAATGATAGCTAATGGCTTTTTCTGGTCATAAAACTAATTTGTCCCCCATGACGAAATAAAATCAATATTTGTAGTTGGTTGCTATGGGGGACGCTGTTGATGACTTGATTGCTGGCCATTCTCAGTAACAGCTGTATTGCATCCCTCCCTATACTTAACTCCCCCATTTCCTCCTCCTCACAACAAAAATCAATAAACTGTCCCTACGTCACATTACATGTCACATGACATGTCACAGTACACAAATCATAAACCATACAACTCTGGGATTTAGGTATTGCGGTAACAATGACTTATGATGATGTCATCGCTAATTCAAATCAACTTAAAATCACTATCTTATAAATATATGAATAGATTTTTACAGTAAAACATATTTGTAATGAGACCCAAAAGAACATAAAAAATCTTACTTTACTATGAATAGTATATTTTATATTGTCCTATGTTCATGACTTTGCTGTGTTGCCATTATTTTACAATCAATGTTTTTACTGTACCTCCTTAATAGCTTCCCATCAATTCATTTCTACCCATCAACCATTACTATAATTCATATCTATCCTGTTACCTCATTCAATTCAAATCTACTGCCTATGAATTTATTTAACACGTAACTTCTAACCCATGCAAATGTAATATTTAAACCACCAACCCTAAAATCATATAAATTCAAATCTTATTCATACAAATTCCTTTCCAACTGATACAAATTCATAACTACCTCCTATATAAAACTCCAACTGCTCCCTGTATTACAAGAAACACTCTTACATGAACAAATTAATATATATACATCTATCCTCTAAATTAATATTTTCTTTTAATACTTAAAATTGTATGCTCCATACTTTTAATTTCCAAAACAACTGATTGAAAACAAAAAAAATAGCACTATATCTTAATTTGCAATACCCAACACTGGTATTTTTTTATTCTGAAAACCAGGGAAATAATATATGATGTTTGTGAGCCTGTGGACAGCGTAAAGCTCCTGTCCTTGTCTACAATTACACTCAGACCCTTAACATAATTTCACCTCCCTGATTATAGCCACTTCCTATTGACTATCATTACAACCCATAAAGGGAGTTGATGATTACCCATAATACATCATCCTCATCTCATGATTACATGCTTCCTGTTTTATCTCCGAAATGTTCCGTATCTTTTCCGTCAATACCATACATGACAGGATGAAGGTTATCATTGTTTTCCTTTCCATGTCAATCTGATAGGCTGAGATGGTTTTACCGATATTATACATTCACCAAATCGTCGTATCTTGTTGCATGTTCGCTTCGTATGATGCGAACTCATCTAGTCCGAGTAATGGAGAAATAAATCAAACATGTCGCAACCTGAATATGAGTCATATTTCTGTATGTATATGACATGTTCTTTTACACTGTATATTTTCAAGAATTGGACCAAATTTCTGTGTTTTCTTGTCAAGTCTTGGTATGCATAAAACTCAAAAACAAAAAATGTAAATTTTCCAGTGTTTATATCAGCAGTGAGAAAAATAATGAGTAACAGCTAACTCGGATAATTAGGACATTTTTACAAGCATCTTTTTTACCATATTTTGCTGTGTGTCTGTCTTACCTCCACCCCTTTGTATTTGCAGAAGATCCGATAATGGTCCCTCATACCCAGAGCTTCCAGCCAGGTTTCTATGGCAATGTGTTTGTGTGCCATCACCTGCTGTCTCTCCAACACAATCCTGCAAAATACAAATCAGAGAAATATACAAATAAGCTGAAAATTTAACACAGGTTTAATTGCTAAGCAGCATCAGCAAGCTTTTCAAAAATAACTTGCTACATTGTTAAGTACAATCAGTGATATTTCCAAAAAACAATTTCCAACATAGCGACAACCTGAAGAGGTAATCATTTCTCATGTCATCAAATTGTCTATTGACTATAAATTTATCATTCCTATTCAAGTCTTATGATTCTTGTACCTAGGTCAGAACACAGTTCCTTAGATGTAGGTCAGAACACAGTTCCTTAGATGTAGGTCAGAACACAGTTCTGTAGATGTTCAAAAGAAAAGCCAGAAACTGGTCCAAACACTGAGACAATCTGTGTTAACCAAGATCATTAGGTGGATGGTGTTATTAAGTTCCAGTTGTCCTTCAAACTATCTAGTATTCCCATTTAGGTTTCAGGATATCTACACATGTACAACTGATCAAAGTGCACTGCTGTACGTCTGCTTTATACATAGGTTGACAAATTACGCAAGAATTTCCTGCATGTACAAAACCACATGTTGTGCATGTCTTTAAGTTTAGCACCTGATTTTAAAATTGTTCACAAAATTTAACCAAAGAAAAAATACACAACTTCAGTACATGTACAATATGTCCCTTGATAAACTTGATCCTGTTGTCAGATTGCATGTCCAGTGCAATTTCATTTGAAAGATAATTGCCTTCAATTTGCATATATAAATGCATGTTCATGTACTGTATTGTCAATGTATGCAGTTTCCTAGTCCATGCATAAACATGATTTCTTTCAAATATACATATAGATGTATATATACATCTTAATACATTAACAAAATGCATATAAAGAAAGATGGGGATTGGAAACAAGTTCAAGTGGTGTAAAGGGGTGGGGCTTGGTTAGGGGGGACATCAGGAGAACGAGTTAGCTGTTTCACTTAAATAAGGAACCAACAAGCGTAATTTGTGCATGAAACAGAAACGTTTTTACAATCAAGTATTTGCTGCAAGCAGTCATTAATGCTATCAAAACATACAATAGAGTAAATATGTTTGTTCTATAGTAGAACAGGAACAACAGTCAATTATTTTAGTAACATGAATTCAGTACGTTATGGGTGCAGCATGAAATGTATTGAAAACACCTTTCTCGGGAGATTTTATAGGGCCTGGAGGCATTCATCTGCAGAAGTGCAATGTACCATTCCTGACACATTACCCACGCTTATTAATCCACTGTTGCCTAATTATTATTTTTTAACCGAAATTTCATTCTGAATTTTACAGTGTTATATAGCCATTGTCTGGTCATGCCTGATCAAATTGTTAATTTTTCGTTTTCTTTGATGTTTGGTCATAACAGTTGCCATTATGGGTTATTAATACACGCTAATTATGTAGCATGGAAAACTTAAGCTCTGCCTGTGATTTACAACCTTGAATTACGTGATTCGGGCCAACAACATAATGTACACGCTGAGTCACAGAGTGTATCTTTCCTAGCCTGTGGCTTCTTCACCTCAATCAAGGTATAACTTATCTCCCTTTAGCAAGACATGCATAGATCTTGTACTAGTTATATTTTTCATTGAGTGGAGTGTTAACCATGCATGTGACAATAGTATTTACCACAAAACGATGTGCTGTTAGATACAATTATATTAAAGCACTGAAGCGACACAAGTTAATGTAACTGGTGCAGTAAACTAATAGTGCACAAGGCCATTTTTGATTACGCATAATAGTACTAGAAATCAAATCACAATGGTTTGGTCCTTTTGTTATTTTTCACAGTATTTTCAGCTTTCTGATTGATCAGTATACTGTGAAACAGAATAGAATTATAAGCTATAAATGTCAACTTTACTTTCATCATTACACTTTATGTATAATCACTGCTACAAATGTCAAATAGTTCCATTATTCCACTGTTCCCTCAGGTTCATGTCCCGAGGCTCAAGGTTGTTTTCCCATCTATCTATATTTTGAAAACTGCTTTTTAAATCAATGAAATTCAAACTATCAGGAGAAACTCCCCGGTGACAGATTGTTGGGACTGTTAACTGTTTTTGATGAAGGCCAGCTCCATCCTTCGGTCTTATGTTACTGAAGAAGAGGTGCGGACAGATTGGTTACCCTGTAGAAGATGTGACAGAATCCATCAGTGGTGATGACAGGGAAGTTTTGATATCACTACAGTATATCATTGGTATCTGTTAGGTCTTGGCTCTGTTACATTAAGCCAGCCTCTATTTGTTTCCCTAAGGATGTATGCTGCTTTACACATCATACCTGTGATTTATTTTGGAGTTATCTCCCTTAAATCTTTTTCAATTCAGAATCACATGATCGTTTTCAATGAAAATATTTCTGTGTACTTGTTAAACATGCTATGAGTCTTTATTGGTTCATGTGTAACTCTTATAAATGGAGATAGATATGGTATAAAATAGGAAGGCATCATTAACCTTTACATTTCTTTGCCACATTTTTAGTTCATTTTATTTTTATTCATTGTCATGCGCATGTTGTACAAGACATTTCCTCAAACAGAATTTCTGGATCTTTAATGCTTCAAAACAACATCAAACGATATCAATACAGTTGTTTACATGGAACATTGTAGCTCACCAGACTTTGAACCCTACAAAAGTTCTAGTGTGACGTGCTCCATGGCCGCTCCATGGCCATGCCAACTATATCAGTGGTGTAGTACGCCTCACACAGGGACACACAATCTCAGATCCACACTTTTATCAGGGAAAACTTCTATAATCACTAGTTTATTTTTGGTCTACAAAAAAATGGAAAGGAAATCCTGACGATTATTTCTGGGAGGAGAATAATTCAAAATGTTTACAACTACCTTAATCAAAGAAGAATTTGTTTGGGAGGAGATAAAGGATGCAATAAAACTGTTTCAAAAAATATTGCAAATATTTTAGTACAATCTTTGAAAAAATATTTAAGATTTAAAGCAAATTTTAAGTCTGCTTCAAAGTAGTCATAGCTAAAACATCCCTGATTGGTAATTAAATATTGAGTAATATATCTCACACTTCTATTACACTGCAGTTGTACCACAGTTTGTCCTGTACATCTTAGGGTGTCATGTTACTTTTCTTGGAGGAAAACACTTTTTACAACTGATAGCATTCCTCTGCAATCTGATATTGATATAAAGTGGCTGTAATATATAGGTTTAGAAAGTTTCTTATTTACAAAAATACATTTAAAGAGCTAATCTTGAGCCATCACAGACCATGAATATTATCTCCGACATAAAAATTGTAGCTTTATATGCCCTTGGGCAAATTCTTTGGATTTCAAAGGTTTTATGTCTAACTTTTCACACCCTTTAACACCTGGTAATTGTCCCTATTTTTAAGGAAGTTTTACCTGTATATTTTATTGCTACCGCTTGTGTCAATTAAAACTAAAAAATCACTGCCACCAAAACAATAGACAAGTCAAGAGAGATCCGACTCATGCAGTGATTAAAAATATTTAAAAAAAAATAAAAATGGATTTTTACTAAAACTTATTCTCAGACAGCATGAGGACACTAATTCCAACATACTCAAACCACCCTGAAACTTCAGCAAAGCTTTTTTATACAGAACATGATTTCCTGTTGATATCCAATCTAATCTTGTGATACCACAGTGATAATCTCCCCTACACAGTGGGTCCCCACCAGGTGGCGCTCATTAATGCAGCTGCATCTAGTAATCAGTGCACCAGATTGACTGATAAAACCACAGACCACAGGCCTGCATGGAACACGCTAACTAGCACCTCCACAACTTACATGTGAACCTCCAATAACACAGGACCATAACAGGCAGGAAAGCTTGGTTTCTGTAACTCCTAGCTATTACATGTACTAGCAACTTCGCTACTTCATTTCAATGCGAAAGCTGTTTATTTTATAATTTGAACTAAGAAATTATAGTAGTATATTGATTGGAAAAATAGCTTCAAGTTTAATACTAGAATATAATCGGTTTTGTTATTTGGAAGATGATTTGAACATGCCAAACATAGATGGTTTAATTCATTGACATGACTATAAATACAAATACAAATATTTTTGCTAATTGAAATTAAAAGACTTCAATTTTTTAATACACATATTTTTCACATTAAAGCAAGCAGATAAACACTCTTCAATCCAAAGAATGCAAATGTACAGTAGGTCAGCACTAAAGGCCATATTTGAACAAAACGCCCAACCATACCTTAGCCCTCCGACTCCTTCCCTGAGCAAATGTAGTTTGTACACAGAGTGCAAGAGGCACTTAAGTAGGAATACTGCTAAACTATTTGTTTAAAGGATCTGTAAATATTCGTTCAGATGCAATAAACTATGGCTATGTATCCCCTTCTTTGTAGTGAATTAAAATCCTGTGAACTAGTTATCTGATTAAAAATGGTAAAGATAGTAAGGTTTGATAATCCAACAATTTATGGCAGACTGATACTGCTGTCAGAGATCTACCGCCAAATATTTAAAACATAGTATTTATTATTATAACCCAATACAGTATCAACCATACAGCTCCAACCCTGGTTACATTAAGCCCTACAAAAGCACATAGGTTCCTAACAGTCCATAGCTATAACACCAACACAACCAGGTCAAGTGCCAAACATTACATTATGAAGACCAATCAAGTCATGTGACCTGCAGAGTCGTAACTGACTGCCTTTACAGATAGCTATAGGTACATGCATCACCTGTTGGAAAATAATAATTCTTAAGAAGCCAATTTCATCGTAATAATAAGATTTACTGCCAACGTAAACAGTCCCCTGAGATATGTTGATGAATATTATTAATACCATGATACACAGACAGCTGGTATCACCTGTTGAAGATTGGTAGAAAGCTCCCAAAGGGAGATAATTAGGTGGAGAAGTGGTAAAGTCATCCTGATAACATCCCATAATGAGCACATTTACAAAATATTGGTCCATGTGAGTAA